ATCGTTCTAAATGTAAAATTCGCAATATAAATTAAATCGAAATTTTTATTTATTTATAATTTTTGAGTTTATTTACATTAAGTACATAATTATTAAAAATAATAATAATAATAATAATAATAATAATAATAATTAAGGGTACGAAACAAAAGAAAAGAAAAAATTAAATAATATTGCGTTTAATTTTATTATTTAATAAAAAAAAAAAAAAAAACAAACAAGGAAATTAATTCTTATTTTTATTGAGCTACATAAATAAATAGAGGAAAAAACTAGTAATAATAATAATAATAATGTTTATTTTTTTCTAGTTTGATTTGCAATCCTTGAATTTAACGGGTCATAGAATTATCAATATACTTGTAAATCTTTTTATTATTATTATTATTATCTTTTACTTTTGATTTTATAAACAAAAAGTCATTAAATGTCATTTCGTTCACCTCATTAAAAAAAAAAAAAAAAGTTTTCAGATACGTACAATTAAAACGTAAAAAAAATTTTATTTATTTTTTTTTTTTTAAAGAGTCATCGTGACAGACATGATTTTTAACAAACAAAATATTTGTGACCGAAAATATAAAAAAAGAAAACCCGGGTTGAAATCCGTCATTATTATCTTCTCAATACGCGTTTAATAATAAGGTGATAGAGAAATAATGAATTTTTCATCTGACACGATCCTCTTTTTTAAAACTCCCCGAAGGCATGAATGAGTTCTTAAAATAGAAACTCTTGCGGTCTCGTACCTTAAAAAAAAAAAAAAAAGGCGTTTCCACACCACCACCACCATTTTGAAAATAAAATGATAAAAACGGATCGATAAATATCAACCGAATCGATTCGGCAGACAATTTATCGAAATTCGGAAAACTATTTTTATTATAATCGCTTAAAGGCGAGAGAGAGAGAGAAAGGATACGATTCTAGTACCACGTTTAAATTTTTTTATATATTTGACTCCCCACGCGATATTAAATTTTATATATTTTCGAACCACGACGTGTAGCAAATTATTTCCGGTTTGATTTTTATTTATTAAACTTGTAAATATTATTATTATTATTATTATTATTATTTAGTTACAAATTTATTTTTTTTTATAATGTTTAAAATTTAATATGTCGGAAGTATTTTTTTTTTTTTTTTTTTTTATAATAAAAATTATGTAATATTGTTGTGAACGTGGCAGAAAAAAAAAAAAAAAAAAAAAACTTTTTTATTAACGTTTTAATTTTGTAGTCGTGTATTTCCGATTGTATTTTTCTTATTTTCTAATTCCACGTTCATTGTTTGATTTTAAAGCAAAATAAATTAAATTGAACTTTGATTTAAAGGCTAATGAAATGCCGGTTATTTATTTCGTATTGATAGAACAAAAACAACAACAAAAACAAAAACATGAATAAAATTATTAATTTTTTTTTTTTTTTTTAATCTCATACGAGTACGAGATCGATGAATGGTTCCTCAATAAGTGCAATAATGTTTTATTTATTTTTGTTCATAAACAAATGTTTAAACAAAATGACTTTAACAAAATGATTTTAACAATGCCTTGAATAAATGAAATGAATTTTTTTTTAAAAAAATGTCCGAGGTTTGAAATCATAATAAATGTTACGATGACAGGTTATATATATATATATATATTATTATTATTATTATTATTATTATATTATTATTATTATTAATATCATTTTTAACTTTCATAAACGAGTATTTTTTAATGTCGACGGCAGTAAAAAATGATTTTAAATTTCGATCCCGTTTATCCTTAAGGAATTAAAGGTTTAAACTCACGACGTTTTTTTTTCTGAACTTTACGACGTTGCTTTTATGTTTTTATGTTTTGTGTTCGTTTTAAAGGTTTTGTTAGAAGGTTTTGTTTCAATAATGAGTTAGTCGGCGAGTACTTTTCAAACAAGAAAAAGAGATTTAAATAGTGAAAGTAATGAAAGTTTTCACTTTTGTTTCATTTTGAGTTTTTATCATTTTATAGTTTTACATTTGTTTATTAAGGATCCCCCCCCCCAAATTCTTATCCGAAAGTCGTCGCGTGTTCGAATCTTTCGGTGGCGTTTTTTGAAAAAAAAAATTTTTTTTTTTTTTTGATGTGTGGGCCGTCCCACGTAACTCAAATTTTTCTTTTTTAAAATTTCCGAAAATTATCTTTAAATTGCCTTCAGGAATTGCGATTGTGGCATGGCTGGCTCCCAATGCCTCCCACGGTGACCGGAATCATATTCTCATCTATTCTGGCAATGTAAATTAAAAAAAAATTTTTTTTTGTATTTGAGCCCCCCCCCCTTATTTTTTATTTTTTTCTACTTCTTTTGGCTTTGATGTTTTTTTCCGATCAATAATAATAATAATAATCGATACCATTTTTGTAAAAAAAATATTCTCTATCGTTTATTTTCAATCGATGATCTATGTACGCAAAAAAATTAACTAATAATAATAATAATAATAATAATAATAATAATGCATTCCAAATTATTGTTATTATTATTATTATTATTATTATTATCATTTTCACATAAATAGTTTTTTATGAAAAATATTCTCCTTTATGAGGACGAGGTCAAAAAAATTTTTTGAGCCAACAAAAAGTAGATCTTCGTGACTTTTTTACATGAGACGAGATTTATTTATTTTTATTTATTATATGTTATATTAAAAACGGAAAAGAAAAGAGGGAGAAAGGGGAGGAAGAGAGGGTGGGGAAAAGGGAGGAAGAGAGGGAGAGAAAATTTATGTAAAATTTCAAAAAAAAAAAAAATTTTTTGTTTTTTACAATTGCAACAACAACAACAACAACAACAACGATAATTAATTATTGAAAAATTTTTGCAACGAGTTCAAATATTCATTAAATAAATTTTATTTTATTTTTATTTTAAAAAAAAAAAAGTAATTTTAATAATAAATACATTAATAATAATAATAATAATAATAATAATAATAATAATAATAATAATAGTAATAATAATAGTATTTAAACCAGACGTCGTCGTCGTCGTCGTACGTAAATGAAAGAAGAAAAAATTGCTCTGCTCTCTATTTAACCCAAAATTTTATTTATATATATATATTAATATACACGTGTTAAAACGCACGCAGACACACGTGCACGTGCATACTCATACGATATATTTAAAGTAATATAAACGCGTGATAACTAATTATAATTTTAACACGTTACATTTGGCAATTTAACATCATTATTTGATGAATCCATAGACAAAAAAAATTGTTGTTATATTTATAAACAATTAATATATAATAAATAAATAAATAAATATGTATGTATAGGATTTTTTTTTTTTTTTTTTAATTTCACCGTACTTCGATCAAACTTTTCATTATCACGACGTTTTTATAAAATATTTTATATATAAGAAGAAAGGTAAACAATAATAAAATGTTTAATTAAAAAAAAAAAAAATCTAAAATCTTTCCAACATTTCGTATATTTATTTTGTTATCACGATTTAGTTTCCGTAAATCGTTTAAATTGGTGACGACGACGACGACGACGACGACGACGACAAAAGTTCGTTGGTTGATTTTACGTCTGGAAATCTCCACTACTAAAAACAAAAACAAAAAAAAAAAATATTTATTTATTTATTTATTTATAACAAATCTTTTGTTTCGAACGATTCGGATTAAAACTATAATAAAAAAAAAAAAAAAAAATTTTTTTTTGTTGTTGTTTTTTTTTAAAAAAAGAAAAGTTTTTATATAATAAATATGTCGCCGATTTCACGTGAATTATTTTGGGCACGTGAGTATATATTTTTTTTTTTTTAATTAAGTTTAATAATTATTATATTTCGTCGAGTATTAATTATCATTATTATTATTATTATTATTAATGTAAGACGACAAATTTTTTTTTTTTTAAATTTATATTTAGCTTGGCAATGATCCGCATTTTTCAAATAAGAAAATTTTTATTTTTACATAAATTTATTTATTATACTCTCCGTATTTCTCGTACAAAAATAAATAAATAAATTATTTACTCACGCGCACGCGCACACACACGTCGATTTAAATAAAGAAAAAAAAAAAATTTTCCTCTCTTTTCTAATCATCATTATTACATGAGCAATCGAATTTTTTAAATAATAATAATAATAATAATAATAATAATAATAATAATAACCTTTTACAACGGCAAGTTTTGTAACCGGTGAAAATGATTATTATTATTATTATTATTCGTTCTTTCATTTTGAAAAAATATTAATAATAATAATTTATATATGTATATATATATGTTAAATAATGTTGCATTTAAATGGTGGTGACCTTGAACTTGAACGAATGCACCCGAACGCTTTGATACGCAACAAAATTTCCTTTTCGTTAAATGAATCATTTAAATTAATCAGGCTAATATTATTATTATTATTATTATAAATAAATTAATTGATGGAAAATATCTGCGTGTTCGAAAATCTGCGCGAAAAATGTTTTTTTTTTTTTTTTTTTTTTTTGGAATGATTTATTATTTCCAATCAATTAAATTTTATTTTCATTTGCAATTTTCTGCTGTAGTAAAAATAATAATGATAATAATAAAAATAATTTATAGGGGATCCGAACCATTTAATAATATGCCTGCCGACATCGACGTTCTCGTAGGCGGAAATTCTTCGCTGGGATTTTCCACGAGTTATTCATATAAATCGAAAGTTCATCAATACGATACAAATTCGGATTCATCAAATTCTCCATACGGATCGAGTTGTTTAGATTTTCCAACAGCATTGAGTTCGAGTCCAAATTCTAATACATATTATTCTCACAGTCCTCCTCCTCCTCCTCCTCCTTCTCAGTTAGTTGGTAGTAGTCCTACTGCTCCGACACATTTTACATTTCACGGAAGGTGTAGCTCACCGACTCTAAGATCCGTTCCGTCTTCTGCGGCGATAATCAATCAATTTATATTGTCATCATCATCATCATCATCCGAAGATTGTCAAATGCCTGTGGCCGTACCTCGTCGTCCTTGTTTGGTCGTTAGATGCGATGTTTTGGACATACCAAGTCCGAACAAGAGTAAAAAAAAAGTCGTTTTTGCCGATGATAGAGGTTTTCCTCTCACTTTGGTAAGATTTTCTTCTGAAAAAAAAAAAAAAAAAAAATTTCATTTTTTCTCTCTTCTTATTACGGTTTTCCATTTTTTAGGTTCGAACGATGACGGAACCATCAAACGTTCCTCCACAACTGAGCGTTCAATTTTTTGGTAAAATAATTGAAAAATCATCATCGTGTAATCCGCAAAATTCGGATTCGTGGGAAGTCACATTTTCACAACCGGCATCGGATTATTTAGATTTTCGACGTCGTTTGGACACGAATAACGTGTCATTAGAAAATGTTATATTAAAAGAAAGCGAAAAAGCCGTTGTCGGAACGGTCAAAGTTCGTAACATTGCTTATCAAAAAGAAGTTTTCATGAGAGCTACATCGGACGGTTGGAAAACTCAAGAGGATGCATTTTGTACGTACGTTCCGAACAGTCCATCCGCTCACGGCGTCACCGTTTTATACGATACATTTTCATTTCGTTTAACTTTACCACCGAAATCGAAAAAATTAGAATTTTGCGTTTGCTTCAAGTGTTCAGGTTCCGAATATTGGGATAATAATTCCGGGAAAAATTATTTTATATTAAAAAAAGAAAAATTTTCGCCGCCGCCTCCTCCGCCCCCCTCATCATCATCATCATCTTCCGTTTTACAATCGGACCTACTATCTAGTACAAAAATAAATTTGCCAAGAGTTTTTACAGACGAATTAAAACCCAACGCGAATCTTCAATCATGGTCGGAATTTGCGAGTTGGAATCATTTGAACAGTAATTCTCCTTATTGGTAATTAAATTTACTTTTATTTTAGCAAACGATTAATTCTTTGCTATAAACAAATTGAAAAGAGATAGAGAGAGAGAGAGAGAGAGAGAAATATAAGCAAATTTTCCGAAAACGTTAAACCCCCTGTTGTTTGTATGTATACCTAGACAAAAATTGATATTTTATTACTTAATAATATTATTATAAATTAAATTATTTAATTAATTAATTAATTTTTTTTTTTTTTTAAACAAGGTACATGTACAATATATTGTTATTTATTATTTTTATTATTATTATCGTAACTGTTGTTAAACAAATATTTTTAAACAAAGAAACAAACAAACAAAAAAAAAATTATTTTTAGTATTTTTAAAATTTATACATAATTTTAAATATTTTTTTTTTTTTTTAATAATTACCCGCCATTTGTAAATAATAATAATAATAATTTTTAAATAAATGAAATTTCAATTAATAAAAAAAAAAAAAATGATTTTTTTGTTTATTATTTAATTTTTAAACAAATTCAACAATTTAAATAAATTAATTAATAATTTTTAATATATATATATATATATATATATATATATATATATATATATATATATATTCATGTAAATATGTATACATAAATAAATAAATAAATTTTCAATAAATCATGTAATATTCGATAATAAATAACAAAAAGAAAAAAAAAATTATTTTTGTTAAAAATTTATTAATAATAATAAAAAAGATTAAAAAAAAAAAAAAAACTAGTCAAGAAATTTTCAATTTAATTATAATTAAAATTTTTTTTTTTTTTT